AGAGGAAGGGAGAAGGAGAGAGATAGAAACATCAATGATGAGAGAGAATCATTGATTAGCTGCCTCCTGCACGCCTCCTGCACGCCCCCTACTGGGGACCTAGCCAGCAACCTGGGCATGTGCCCTTGACCAGAATCGAACCCAGGACCTTTCAGTCCGCAGGCTGACATTCTCTCCACTGAGCCAAACCAGCTAGGGCAGAGCTGGGATTTGAGCCCAAGTAGTCTGGCTCCAGAGCTTACGATCCTAGCCAGTACATATACTGCCTTCAAGTCCTTATGGGGAGGGACCTTGGATTGGAATACCCTTTCTGATTCTCCAAGGCTTTAGAAAGGCACAGTCCAGGCTCCTGGGAGCAGCTTCTCTGTCTCGGGCCAACAAGGCATGGGATCCCAACAGTAGCAGTGGAGCCGGTAGCAGTGAACACAGGAAGACGTGCTCCTGAACTGAGTGACAGTGTGTGGCTTCTCCTGTCAATCCCACCCTGACCTTGGAATCTCGCATGGGATCCAGGAATCCCAGGTAAGCAGGGGAAGGAAGGGGCAGTTGGTGAAGCAGGATATATTGGTCCTGCTCTGACTCTTTAAACCAGGCAGGACCACCCTTGCAGCCTCACCCATGAATCATCTCGGGGCCTGTGACTGTTTCTGAACTGCCAGTTATAACTCATCTTCACCTGCTCATAATACCTGAGCCCCTGATCTTGATCCTGCCTCTGCTCTTTAGGTTTGATGTTGACTACAATAACGGCTGACACTGACTGAGTTACTTCACTATGTACCAGACTCTCTACCAAGTCCTTTATCTACATCAGCTCAATCCCAGAGATGACCACTGCCAGGGGTGATATTAAAAATATCTAACAACCATCTTCAGGCATGGCATTACCTGCTGACTGGCCTTAGGGCTAGGTAAAGGACTTAGTATGTCTCTGTTTTGCCAAGAGGTACACTTTGGTTATTGGATCAAGGGGAACAGATAGGGGAAAAGCTAGGGAGATAGAGGGTCCTTGGGCTACTAATAACTACTAACTAGTCCATTGGGAAGTATTCTGATGTTTTAGCAACCAGTTCAGCTATACATGTGCATGGGGCCTGATTTGCAGCCCTGGTATCATTACCTTATTTCACAGCAGTGGATGGAGGCTCAGAAGAGGTTAGACAGCTTGCGCGTTGGAACAGAGCCAGATAGCAACAGAGTTGGGATGCCAACCTGGGTCTGACTCTTAACCACTGACTGACCTGTGATCCTGAGCAGTGCAGTGTCCTAGAACAGAGCTGGGGTTTCCACGTTCCCGCAGCTAAAGGCTGAGCCAGAGGAAAGAGGTGTGCGTTCTGGAGCTCTGTTGTGACATAGTTGTTCTCAGACTTGGAGCCTTGGCAACAACTGCTTCACATTGTGGAAGGAGCAGGCCCTGCAGAGTGAGGGCAGAGTAGGCGGCAGGAAAGAAGGAACAGTGTGGCCCTAAAAAGGTTCAAGCAGGGAATTGAGCCCAGTAGGGTTTTCTATGAGGGCAGAGGTCTGCGGCCAGAGGCTACTTCAATTTGCTCCAACCAAGTGCAAGCATTCCTCCTCTTGTTGGTCCCAAAATGTGTCTTGATGATGGATAACGCCTTCCTGACCCCCTCCCTGGGTTTCCTCAGCCAAGGCTAGTGCAGTCTCGTGACAGCCGGAATTCCTCTGGGTCCTAGATAGTTCACAGTCTTCTCTGAGTCTGTGAGAGAGTGAGATCACCAGCTAAAGGCTGAGTGGGCTCCTTCCCTTTTTTCCTATTGGCTAAGCAGGATTTTTTTTTTAATTTCGAAAATAGAAATCTCTCTTTTTTGTTTGATTGTTTGGTTGGTTAATACATGGTGGCTAAATAAAATTATACAGAGAGAGTAGAAGTTCCCCATAATTCCTCCCTTGAGCATTACCTGCAGAGGACCTGTGCTTTTGTCTGCCCTGCCTTCTTTCTCCTGCTGCTGCTGAAGCCCCATAGTGTTGTAGTGGGTTAAGTGCACAGATTCTGGAGCCAGGCTGCCTGGGTTTGCATCCAGTAACAGGCAGGTTACTTTCCCTCTCTGTGTCTCAATTTCATCATATGCAAAATAGGGATGCTAATAATAACAGTACCTATTTCAAAGGGCTACTCTGAGGATTAAAATGAGTTAACATATGCTTTGGGGAAGTACCCAGCCTGGATTGTATACAGTCTTGGGGGACTTTCAATCCAGGTGTCCTGCCTTCCTGTGAACAAAGGTTGAGCATGAGACTTAAGCCAAGGCTAAATGAACTTTCTTTTTCTCTTTCATCCTCTCTTTCCCACACTAATCTGAATCTTGAGTAAAGTGATTCAGGGATAGCAGATGGTTAGTGCTGGCTTATTATAGGGCAGAGCTCTGATGATGCCACTGTCCATTCCTGCTATCTGAATTCCCAGAGACCACTCAGGTACACGTCCTTTCCAAGACCCGAGTCTTCTGCTTTTTCTTTAGTTCTGAGAGCCTCTGCACATCTCTCACCCTAAATTTCTTTTTTCCCTTAAGTTATCTAGAGGTGATTTCTGTTTGCAGAAAACACATGAGTTTGACACATTTCTCTAACATTTATGACTCTTGGCTGCAAGTGACAGAAAGTCCAGCCCACAATGGGTTAAGCAAGAAGAGAATGTAGTGGCTCAAGTAAGAGGAAACCCAAGGGGGAGACTGGACTTTAGGGACAGCTTGAGTCACCAATGTGATTGATGTGTGACCTCTTTCCAGGTCTTTGTTCTCCTGTGTTGACTTCATTCTTGGGATCCACATGAAGGCAAGTATCTGCCAGCATCTCCAGGCCCACATACTCTCGGGTGAGAGTCCCACAGAAAGGAGGAGAGCTTCTCTGCCCCAGCGCAGCCAGTCAACATCCTGCGCTGGTTCTCATTGGCTTGATTTGGGATCCGTGCTGAGCTCAGAATAAATCACTACTTACAGGGGAATACA